GTTTTTTATGTTAACTTTATGACTGCAGGCAACATAATAAAGTAACGCTAGTTTTTAATAATGTAATAACAAATAGCTTAATACCATAAAGGTTTATTGCGTCTTTACTGCTGTCTACTAAAACCAAGCTGTGCCTGTTAACTCGTTGTCATGGTAACTAATGTTAAGATTACTCTGTGCATTAATTTCCTTTTGAGCTAACGTTAGTAAGTAGTCCGCTAACGTAGCAAAAAAAAAAAAAAAAAAAAAATTGTCACCCGGTAAAGTTAACCGTTTGTGGTTTAGGTTAATCTATGTTGGTCGGTACATTAGAAAAAAAAATAAAAATAAATCGAAACAATTGGGAAGTTTCGTGTGTTAAATTAAACCGTTAACGTTTCGCGTCAGAGCAACAAACATCAAAGAGCAAGCTAATTAGCGAGCTAGCATCGCGGCCGTTGGTTTTAGTAGCGATCAGTCGCTGCTCGGTCCACCTCCGCGAACACCGACCTGAAGACAAAAAATAAACCCTTCTTCATCGGTAACACGGGTCGAAAGAATAAAGCACTCCGGCACAGCCACACATATGTCGTCCATTTTATTCAGTTTATCTTGACTTCCTCAAAAAAAAAAAAAAAAACCCTGACTGCCACACACACACACACACAGTACAAATAACGTCTCCCTCCTCCTCTTCCTTCCTCACGTCGTCGTTTTCTCCCTCATCATCATCATCACCGACTGAGCGTATCCTGCTGCAGCATCAACCGCTGACTGACTCAAGGGGACCTGGCTTTAAAATGGAGCACCAACGGGGCCATAGCAACGACAAAAAACACCCCCAATTTAAACTTGTATGATTAGTGGAAAGCCTGTGTTTTAATATATAGATATTTGTGAACGTCGGTGACTGTTACCAGCACAGTTGCACCTCAGGAAAAAAAATTTTTTTTTATTGTAATGTCAGGTTTTATTAACTTGGTTAGTTAGTCCGGGGAAATAAATAAAATGTACCCGATGTATACGTTAAATATACTACATATACAGTAAACGGACTTTTTTTTTTTTTTGTAACTGCAGTCACACAAGAAGGGGCGGGTACATTTATACTCGCCGCCCTCTATGACCATATATGGTCCGTCTGGCGGTTCGACGCTTCGGCTACATCCACCCGGCGAAAAGTGGACACGAGTCGTCGGTGTGCTCCGGAGACCAGTAATCCCGTTATCAAGGTAAGAGCGGCGTTTACGGTACCTGACAGCTGCGGCTTTAATCAGTAACGCACACGGGTGTCTGCTAAAATCAACGCAGCCCAGAAAAAGACACGTTAACCGCCGGATTTCCCGGCTTTTTTCCTTTTCTTCTAGCTGGGGCCTCGCGTCACGTTAGCTTCAGCGGCTCAGGCCTGTCAGCTACCGTTGTTAGCTTAGCTACGGAGCTAACAGCGGCTAGCTCCTCGAAATAATACGATCACACCGCTTTTATGTGACATTCAATCCCAATCGGGTGATATAACTTGCTTTGGTACAGCTGTAGGGTAATTCCCCGTGAAGTGACACAGCTGCTGTTTAATACAACGCGGCATCCGCTGCTGTTAGCGACAGCTGTGCTATCAGGCTTTAGTGTTGCAGAGACCAACGTGGGGCTGAAAGGGACCAAAATGCGGTCTTGGTTTCCACCTTTATCACCACTCTCTCAGGCCGAACCGGTGTCCATGTTAGGCCTTCACTTATAACGTTAGTCCCTCCTTAAAATCCGCTAATTTGAAGTTAATTTACCGGCACCGTCCCCCCCCCCCTGCTGGTTAATCACTCATAACGCCACTTTCTGTAAGTGATAACCACTTTAAACCTAGATTTATACATTTTATTTGACTGGTGTTCTCAAAATGAAAGTCCCATAACAACTGGGGATCTTGATATACTCTTATTTCCTGATGCAGCATGGTATTATTACAGAATAAGATCCTTTTTTTGTTTCCTTTCCCCTGTTGTTGAATAGCCTTCCACGACCATGCCATCCGACCTAGCCAAGAAGAAGGCAGCAAAGAAGAAGGAGGCTGCCAAAGCTCGCCAGCGTACCAAAAAACCTGAAGATGGAAGTGAGGAGGGCGAGCAAGCAGAGACCCAGCGTAATGGAGCAGAGAGCAACGGTAGGAGGAGGCTCGGTTGTGATTTTATTCATCATTCTTGACACAAATTCTGGCGTTGGTGTGTTGCTGAACCGCACTCGGACTTGTCTTTCTGTCAACTGACGCTAAAAGGGGTTTTTGTTTCAACAGGCATTGCGAATTTGACCAAGGAGCTGGATGAATTTGAGCTGGCGAAGACCGAGGCGCGGGCAGTGACCGGCGTCCTGGCCTCGCACCCCAACAGCACTGATGTCCACGTTAGCAGCCTGTCGCTCACCTTCCACGGCCAGGAGCTTCTAGCCGACACCAGCTTGGAGCTCAACTCAGGCAGACGCTATGGGCTTATTGGCCTCAACGGCACAGGTAAGAGTGTCTCACCTGGCACGTGACAGATGTAATTAGTGAGGTTTTTACATTTCCCTTTGCCTTGTGCTGCTTTGGGAACTTAAACATCATTCATTTAACTTCTATTCCTTTTTAAACATTACATATTTTGCTCATTGGCAGCAGTTCCCCACAGTGAAAGTGGCATGAATGTCAATTTATCAAGCATTTATTAAAAAAGAAGCTTAATTTCCCTCTCTTCTTGTATCTGCCAGGAAAATCCATGCTGTTGTCGGCCATCGGGCATCGTGAGATTCCCATTCCAGAGCACATCGATATTTACCACTTGACCCGGGAGATGGCCCCCAGCGAGAAGACGGCTCTGCATTGTGTCATGGAGGTGGACGAACAGAGGATCATGCTGGAGAAGGAGGCGGAGAGACTTGCCGCCGAGGACTGTGAGTCAAATGCGGTTATTGCGCAACAACTGCAACTGGAGAAGGGGGGAAATGTATTGTGGCACAGAAGAGTTGAGAGATAACAGAGCTGAAATTAAATTCAACAAAACACACCCTAGCTTGAGCGTAGTTGACGAGAAACTGTCTCATAGTTGTTCTCTAGCTGCGTTAACTGACATTATATGTGAATCTCTCTTTCTCTCTCTCTCTCTCTGCACAGCCGAGTGTGAGAAGCTGATGGAGCTGTACGAGCGTCTGGAGGAGCTGGATGCAGACAAGGCAGAGGTGCGAGCCTCTCGGATCCTTCACGGTTTGGGTTTCACCAGTGCTATGCAGCAAAAGAAAATGAAGGACTTCAGTGGAGGATGGAGGATGCGCGTTGCTCTGGCCAGGTAAAGACGTAGCTCGAGTTGTACCATGCGTGACTTTAACTTCGTACACGCTCTTTTCTGTATTTAGAATACGGTCGAACCAACAAATAATCTGTGAATAACCCACAAATTCAGTTTAATGTGCAACTACACACAACTGTGTCTTTCACTTCTCAGAAAGTTCATGTTTTGCTGTGAAATTAAGACGTTGGTCACGTAAAAGGCAACACCTGTTGAAGAGTAGTGTAACGTGGAACTAATACTGTTCAGTCACCCATTACTCTTACAAACAAGATAAAGAGTAAAAAATGAGAGTTACGTTTCACAATAAAATGTTAATGACTGTTCTGTGTGTGTGCAGAGCCTTGTTCATCAAGCCCTTCATGCTGTTGCTGGATGAGCCCACTAACCACTTGGATCTGGACGCTTGTGTGTGGTTGGAGGAGGAGCTCAAAACGTAAGTTCACATCCCTACTTCACCACATCAAAGAGTCCGAGCGGTCGATGGATGCGTTGCTCATCCCGCTTCTTGTCGTTCAGGTTCAAGCGAATCCTGGTGCTCATCTCGCACTCTCAAGACTTCCTGAACGGTGTATGCACCAACATCATCAACCTGCACCAGAGAAAACTCAAATACTACACGGTGAGAACACTTGGCTGAAAACAATGCTTTTTTTTTTTTTTTCAAAGTAAAATTTTAGGAGCCCAATGCCAGAAAGGAAATGGACTCTAGCATCCTTTGGAACATCTTTAAAAAGTATGAATGGGGCCGCATGTGATCTCATAACGCTAAATAAGGGAACTGGGGGAAGGCTGTTACTAATTGTGTCACTGTGCCGCCCTGTTGGATGACCATGCACATCTATTTTTGCTTGAAGGGTAACTATGACCAGTATGTGAAGACCAGAGAGGAGCTGGAAGAGAACCAGATGAAGCGCTTCAACTGGGAGCAGGACCAGATAGCACACATGAAGGTGAATGAGCGACACCACGTGGTGGAAGTGTGTCTCTGCACAGAATGGGCGGTCAAGAACAAACTCTTTTTAAAATAAGACCAGTTACTTAGTATGGCTTATGTTTAGGCTGTTACTAAGGAGTCCCATACCTTTTTACAAATATGAATTATTCTGTTTTGTCATTTGCAAAACTAAGACTTGTACTCATTGTTCTTTTTTTTTATTTTTTTTATATCCGTCTCATCTAGAATTACATTGCCAGGTTTGGTCACGGCTCCGCAAAGCTGGCACGACAGGCACAGAGCAAAGAGAAGACGCTGCAGAAGATGGTGGCATCCGGCTTGACTGAAAAAGTTGTGAATGACAAGGTACTGTGACGTGGTTGACCCTTTGACTCTGTGGCACAGTCTCAATACTGTCATGGCACTAACGCTTGCTTCTGTCTCCCTCAGACTCTGTCATTTTATTTTCCTCCCTGTGGGAAGATTCCTCCTCCTGTTATCATGGTTCAGAATGTGAGCTTCAAGTACAGTGACAACACAGTGAGTATGGTTAATATCGCAGCACGGACGGAGCTTTGTTCACTGAAATCTACATCGCAGTCTCACTGGTGTGTTTGTGTTTCCTGTAGCCGCACATATATACAAACCTGGAGTTTGGTATTGACTTGGACACACGAGTGGCTCTGGTGGGACCCAATGGAGCAGGAAAGTCCACACTACTGAAGCTGCTGATGGGAGAAGTAAGTACAGCACATTCCCCCCATTATCCTACAACAACTGGCACTTGAGTATTAAAGCTCATTCTCCTCTTTTTCTTTTTGTAGCTCCTCCCCACCGACGGCATGATCCGCAAACATTCTCACGTCAAGATTGGCAGATATCATCAGGTAAAACACGGCGCCTCGGTGCACCTGCAACAGTACTACGAGCCCCCGTAACAACCAGACATTACGTTACAATATCTGCTTATGTTACAGCATCTGACAGAGCAACTGGAGCTGGACCTGTCTCCTTTGGAGTACATGATGAAGTGTTACCCTGAGATCAAAGAAAAAGAGGAGATGAGGAAGATCATCGGTCGCTATGGGCTGACAGGAAAACAGCAGGTAGGATTTGGAAACTCTTCCAGGCGATCTGAAAGAGGGGGAAGTGTTTCTTGTTTTGTCCGCAGTGTCTGTACATTAACCTCTGAAATATCTTCCAGGTCAGTCCGATCAGAAACTTGTCCGATGGTCAAAAGTGCCGGGTGTGTTTTGCCTGGCTGGCCTGGCAGAACCCTCACATGTTGTTCCTTGACGAGCCCACCAATCACTTGGACATCGAGACCATCGACGCGTTGGCGGACGCCATCAACGAGTTTGACGGCGGCATGATGCTAGTTAGCCACGACTTCAGGCTAATTCAACAGGTATATTCAGAATTTAATAATTAACTTTAACATTTAGCTGGAAACAGACTTTACCCGACCAGTTGTATCTAAAAACACTTTCTGTTTTCTCCAGGTGGCTCAGGAGATCTGGGTGTGTGAGAATCAAACCATCACAAAGTGGAACAGGGACATCCTGGCATACAAGGAGCACTTGAAATCAAAGATCGAAAACCAAGCGCATGACATCTAAATAAACCATAAATCATTCTGAGCCACTCCTTTATCTTGCATCATGGATTTAACCTGCAAACTCCCGAGGGGGCACGAGTGGGGTTTTCACTGCAGGAAATGTCCCAAGTAGAACTGAAACAATCTCTTATGCATCTTATTGGACACGTCTCTTGTACTTGTTGTACTGTATTTCCATCTCGGTTTGACAGTGCCGCACCGTGCTGAACCCGACCCAGTCTCTCCTCTCCCTTCACCTCTCCTCCCTCTTTCCCTCCTCCTCTCCTCACCTCAGGCTGCACTCTGATGGGCTGATTCAGCTGAAGCTTCTCGGTGCATTTTGGAATGCATTCCATTGTGCTGTCTTCATAGAAAAGTTTTATTTTTCCAAATGTTCTGTTTTATCCCAACATGTATGCAGCAGCTTTTTAGGTCATATTTTATGATATTTAAAAGTTGACTTTTTTTTTTTTTTTTCCTCCTGTGTAAAAGAGCAGTTCTGCCTTATTTAACAATGTAATGCAATAAAGGTTTGTCTGAATAAACAGAACATAAAAACAGCATCTTTAGATTCAGAAGACTTTATTTTTTTTTCTTAAACTTGATGAATACAGTGCTCATATCCAAAAATCAAAAGCTGTTAGGGAAAATAAACTATTTTACATCTCTGTAAACAAGAGGACAAAACTCGAAGTGATTAAAGACGTCTAACTTTGGATTCTGGCCATTCTGAGCCCCTCGGCTGCATAGATCCTTCCTCATCTTACAGCCACTGCACTGTGTACGCTGCTCACCATGTATCCATGTAACTGAAAACGTCTGGGCTGTCCAAACACTGGCATTACTAACGCTAACAGACGGTAATGTGACATATGCCATTCATAAAACCAAACAACTGAATCCAAACTGCATCCCCAGGATGCATTGGAAAAGTTACAAATTTGAGTGTTTTAGGTGACTTATGGTCTGCTGTAAACTAACATCCATACAGGTTACATAATCAAAATCTTCATTAAGAGGTTGAACAGTAAAGCTGTGTTCATGTCAAACTGGAAAGGTGGCAACGTAACAGAAGTATGGCTGCGTCTTACTGCCACCATTACGGACATACTTCTATCATGTTATTTCTCATTACTACATAACAACTGGGTTCAACCGTACCATAACCATTTCAACAAGAACCCACTTAATCCTGTTACATCACTAATAATGAGAAATTGTCATGGTGGCAACAATAACCTGCCATACAGAAGCAACATGGGCATTTCTTTTCATTTTTATGGATTTAAAGCCAATCACACGAGAGCTGATATCTCTCGTCTGCAGCAGCAGTTAACTGTATTACAACAATAAACAAATCATTTAACCACTGACACCTACAGTAGTGTTTAGTTAACAATAGTGCCGAATATTCAAGCTAACAAAACAAACATTGCACCCAATTCTAACAAACATCAGAAGGTTAATTTATGCTTATAATAAATCCAACATGACATGAAGAGAGCTCACGATTCAGTGTTAGTTTCAACAACAGGTCAATGATTACTGAAAGACATTATCTGCCTTCACGTCCTCCAAACAATGTTCAACTGTATTTATTTGAATGTGTTATTTAGGTTTTCATTTAATTTCTACATATGTCAGTCAGTTAGTCATTCAGTCTGAAAATACATGCGGTGTTATAAGTTACTATTTCCAACACTTAATACGCTCCTGCCAGTCGGCTCCAAAAGTGCCGACCAGGAGAAACAGATAGCTCCAACCTATAAGGCTGCACATTAAAGCTTTAAAGCTATTTGTCAGATGGACTTTTCCAGAGACAAAAAGGGCTGCAGTTTATGCAAGTAAATACAGACTGATTATATATATATATATACGTAAACGTTAGAAATGGCCTGGTTTTTAAAACACAAGGCTCCCGTTTAAGGTTTCAACTTGGTAGCGTGCGTGATTGACAGATTAGTGGCACTAGCTGCAGTTGAAACAGTGCAAGTAGGAGGAGTGTTTCAGTTATGCTGTCTCACAGAGTATCCTGCCGGCAGCATGTTTCAGGGGGCTAAAAGGGGACCGCAGCAGTCGGAGGCGCACTCGGGTGCTGTATATGTGTGGACCAACCGAGGGGTATCGATGCTCACTGGGCTTCCCACTCCTCATCTGAGACCTCATCGGGGGGAACGGTGCGAGTGTTGCTGGCGCGAATGCTGCTGATGTTGGTGAAAGAGAGGAGGTTCGCAATACCTATCAGACTCACGCCAGTGCCGTCCAGATTCACCTGAGCCAGATGCATGTGTTTCAAGCACTTCAGGCCTGAGGGGAAAAACATAAAAATGCATAGAGATTGTTCACCCAAGCACAGAAACAGTACACGTGTTTGTTGTCGGGGAGTCAGATGAAGAAAGGGACAGCGATTATGACAATTTGACCTCACCGTGGTCTGTGATCCGTGTGCGGCTGAGATTAAGCTTCACAAGCTGATTGCAGCGGATCACACCTCTCTTCACTACTGTGTCTCCCACCTGAGTGCTGGCTAACCCCAACACCTAAAAAAAAACACAGGAAAAACACATTAAAATCACCAAATATATCAAAACTGGTTCAGTATGCAACTTATACAAGTGTGAGGCAGAAACTTGGAAGTGCACATACACTGAGAAATGTTTCCCTTCAGGAATCAATGCAGAATCAAATCCTCTGTATAAATAACAAAATAGTACATCACATGATGTTTTGTTTTTTACATAACTTTTAACCCTTGGCTACTCACCGTCTGGGCCCCATATTAAGCCTGGCTTATCACATTTTTACCACTTCTAACCACAAATTAATGAGCTGTACTTTAGCGGGTTTTGGTCTGCAGAACAGCAGAAACTGTGCTAATGAGTGTGTTAACCCAGTGCTATCAAAGAATACAGTGTAAAACTTAAAACTTAAATATAGTAAATGCTGACCCATAGGTTAAATAAAACCAGTGTTAAATGTGACGTAAGTTACCTCATGTTTACAACAAGCAGTTAAAATTACAGAGCAGCAAATACTATTTCTTTACCGTTTCTTAAACCAAGCCTGATAGACAACTCACAGACTGACTAACGCACAAATGTCACCAGTAAAATCACCTGGAGGTGCGGCAGACAGGTGATGAGATCGGCTACTCCTCGGCTGGTGACTGCGGTTCGGTCCAAACAGAGCTCCTGCAGCTCCTGCAGGCCACGCAGAGAGGGAAGCCCTGCATCTGTCACCTGAGTGTTGCTAAGTGACAGTTTCTTCAACCTATACAAAGTAAACACAGTACTCGTGTCATTAACCCTGTTGTAATCATACGTGAAACCACTGTTATAACTAGAGAATGCTGACTGCTGAGAGGTTTACACTAAGCTGTCTGAAAGATGTATTCCACATCTTTTGAGTATTTCTTGACGAGCTTACGCAACACTGTGTGTTTTGTGTTGGCTTTAATATTTGTATGAAGTAACTGAAGGAGTTGAAAAAGTGGGAAAGAGTCTAATTACTATGAATGGGACTGAACAGTTTAATGTGTATCATAAGGTTTGGATGTGGTTTCCAACTGAATGATTAAATATAAGTTAACAAAGTCTATAAAGGAGGTACTTTGAAAAGTGGCAAAAGGACTAAAAATGTAAAATATACTGAAATGTCTTGAATAAATGTCATAATGTGGTCAAGATCTTCAATATTAGAAGATTTAAACTGAGGCTAAAGCTTAAAGAATACTTGTGTCTGTCTGTCTCTTTGCTTGTCTGCCTCCATGTCAAACTGGGTTAATTGGGTAATCTCAATCAGCTGTGTGCTCCCAACTCCAATTAAGGGTTGCCACAGTACCTGCTGTGTGAGATGAGAAGTGTGGGGCTAACCTGGTCATGGTGGAGAGCTGGCTGACTCCCTGGTCTGTGACTTGTGTGTAGTCTGTCAGGTCCAGTTCTAAGAGCAGAGACAGTCTAGAGAGGAATGACAACCCGCTGTCTGTCACAGAGTGGCGTCCAGGGAGGGTCAGCTGTGTCAACCTTAGACCTGGGAGAAAAGGAAAAAGTTTGATTTACCCCAGACTTTGACCATTTTGTTTCATTTCCATCTGTCTTCTATTTTCTTTAATGTTCCTTTCCAAGTACGAACCTGAGATGATCTGCAGAGCTTGATTGCCGTCCGCTACAGGGATTCCCGCCAAACTGAGGGAGGACAGGGTAGGGTGGGAGGACAGGTGCTCCAGGGAGCTTTCTGTCACACCTGTCCCATCCAGGTTCAGAGTCTGCAGGTTGGACAGCCTTGCCAAAGCTGACACATCCTTGACCTGGAAATGTGATGAGGAAATAATAAAAAAAAAAAGGTGTAACTTTTAAAAACCGGATGTTCTGCGAGTTAAAATGCGTGTCACGCCGGTAGAACTGAAGTACCTTGGTCTGCTTGATGCTGAGGAGCCGCAGCTGTGGCACACAGGTGGGCAGGACAACCAGTGAGGCTTCGGTCACAGCCGTCTGGTTCAGGCTGAGCTGAGAGAGGCAGGACGGTGCTGACTGGAGATACAGCACCATCCCGGCATCGGTCACTTTGGTCTGGTCCAGGGACAGGAAACACAGGCTCTTCAAACCTTACAGACGCAGAAACAAAGAACGTTGATACCCATTCAACAAGTACTTAACACAGAGCAGCTTATGTTCGAATGTGGCATTCTTGCACGTAATTGTAATTATTGTACTATTATCCTCTCTAGTAATAGTCAGAGGCTTGTTCACAATACGATTTGTAGAAAGCCTGACCTGTGATATGCTGCAGACAGGAGTCGGTCAGTTTGCTACAGGAGGCCAGGTTGAGGTACTGGAGTTTGACCAGGCTGGAGAGGATTGACAGCCCAGAGTCTGGACAAAACAAGTTTGGGAGATTAAAATGAAATGGCTCAGACATTGACCTAACAGATCTAAAAAGCCTATAAACTCCATCTTGGGATACAATTCAATACCAGTGATTAGAGGCGAGTTGACCAGACTCAGATGCTTTAATGCCGTGAAGGCCCGTAACTGCCGCAGGAGC